TCATGGTACTTATTAACCAATTGTATATAACTGTACTTATAACTATAGTTATGACCGTATTAGGGCATTTAAGGGGCTTCCAAGTGGGTTATAAGTACAGTTGTAATTGGTTAATTAATAAGTACCATGAACCTCCAGGTGAACCCTTCTCTGGGCATGCGCGCTGACTCTTCTTCGCAAGCCAGTAGAACCTGGGCGTGGTCAACCCGCCCCAGGGGTTAGGGGTTTAGGGTTTGGGGTTGCGGAGGCTTAGGGGGTTTATGGGGCTAATTGCAGGCCTTCTTTGTCCCAACCTTGTGTTTGAACGGCTGTGATTTCAGGCGGCACGACCCGTGAGTTTCATAGTGACATGGCAACAACACACGAGCCCTCTGCAATTCTTCAACCGAAAACGGTGCGTAGACCTGTCCACGCTCCACAGCAAGGGGCGGCAGAAGCGATCTACAAGAAGTAGGCTTGCTTTCGTTGGCATTTTCGCAATCCAGACTCCCTGATGTTCACCCAGCAAGAGGCCCATAAGCCCATAAGCCCGGGAACAGAAAGGGGTGCCAGCGCCTTCATGGACCAAGCGCCCGCAGAATTGGAAACAGGGCAGCAATCCACGAAGCCGAAGCCACCCTTTTACCCTTGTCACACGCAACACGGGCATTTCGGGGCTTGGCCCCACCTGGCGATGTCCAAAGTTGGGATGAAGGTGAAGGGGTTGAGGCGAAGCCTGTTTTGGGGGGGATTTGGGATTGGGAGCTTGAGGAGGAAGTTTAGGCACTTGGGGCGTCGGGCACCGAAAGGTTCTCCCACCCCCAGCATCGCCAAGAGCACACCGCCCCCCCCGCGGGCAGCATCTTCAGCCTGAAAACAAGCGAGAGGAGATTGCAACCCAGGAGGGCCAGGCTGGAGGAGATGGCAGAACATCGGGTGCGCAGGTGCACGTGAAGGCGTCGATGGAAGGTACAGCCAAGCGTCTCTGAAAGGGGAACTCAACGGTAGTTTGCGAGCTTCTGGCTTCGGATGTCGGGCTTTACACGAAGTCTTTCTTGCAAGCCATTCCGAAATCTTCGATAAGGTTTCAACCCCCAACCCCCCCCAGCAAAACCACCTGTGCTGCCTTACTGCTGTTGTAGCACCGAAGGCCTCCAAAAAAGGTGAGCGCCTGGCATCCATTCCGACAGCTGGATCCTGGACTTAAACATCGCCTTTGGTCTTCCCGTCTGCAGCACTGAACCCTAAACCCTAAACCCAAAAAAACTGAACCCTAAACTCCTTACATATCCTCCAAAGCCTGCCGCATCCCTACGCCTTGAGCCTTGCATGAAAGACCCTAAAGCTACCCCTGAAACTCTCAAGCCCCTAAAGCAAGTACTAAACCGCCCTAAAACTCTAAACCTCTAACCCTAAACCCGAAACCCCAAACCCTAAACCCTAAGCCCCAAACCCTTAACAAAACTCTGAAGCCCGAATCCCCCCGAAGATGCTAGTGCGCAAGCTTCGGCCGTGGTACGGCAGCGTCAGGCAGGAGCCCATGACAACGATGCTGAGGGACCTTTGAGTTTTTGGGGCTTTGGACCGGGAGGGTGTGTAGGGCTGAGAGCCGTTTGGCGGTTTAGGGTTTGGGGCTTAGGGTGCAGGGTTTGGGCGGGGGGGGCTTCAGGGGTGTCAGGGCCAGTCGGAGTTTACCGTTGGGTTTAAGGGCGTTAGTATGTTCGGGAGGGCTGAGGCTCGGGAGGCGTCGATGTCCGAAGCCGAGCTCTTTACGAGGCGGAGGAAAGCCTTACAACTCTGAACTAAACCTTAAGCCCATGTAACCTCCGGAGACGTTGTCTTGAGTATGATCCTCTTGAACCCAATTAAGGCACCCTACTCAAAACCTCGAGCCCTAAATCTTAAACCCCTCAAAGCCCTATAAGATCGGAGCCCTTCAAGCGGCTTGGGTTCCCCTGCAACCGCGGCTGCAACGAGAAGTATGACATGGTGGCTGCCTTGAGGGGTTGAGGGGGGGGTTAACGGGGGGTTTGTGGGGCTTCTTTAGTGGCGGAGGGTGAAGTCTTCGTGTGAAAAGGCTACTCAAACACTCATGACGGAACCCTAAACCCTAAACCCTAAACCCTAAACCCTAAACCCTAAACCCTAAACCCTAAACCCTAAACCCTAAACCCTAAGGCCACTAGGATTCTCGCATCTTGTATGGAACCTCAGAGTAGCTTTCTTCACCTTGGCGGAACTACCCATGTCAAACGATGGCGTTTTGCGATGAAGAACCGACTGTTGAGTTCTTGAGGGTTTAGGGTTTAGGGTTTAGGGTTTAGGGTTTAGGGTTTAGGGTTTAGGGTTTAGGGTCTATAGGGTTTAGGGCTAGAGTTCGGGTTTAGGGTCTATAGGGTTTAGGGTTTAGGGTTTAGGGTTTAGGGTTTAGGGTCTATAGGGTTTAGGGCTAGAGTTCTTGCAAAGGCAAGAACTTTGCATCTTAGTGGCCCAGTAACCACCTTCTGATGCGGGTAGCTGGTACTACTGTAAAAAAAGGGCACCTAGAACCAACAAAAAGGGGCAAAAGGGTACCACTTCCCGATAAATCCATTCTCGGAAAGCCTTCCGGGCCCAAGTCCCTAAACCTTAAAACCCTAAACCCTAAAATCCCACACCCTTGGCTGCCGAGAGTCAACACATTGCTGAAAGGTGTAGTTGGCGAAGGCCGCGTCGATGGTCTGGCGGTTTTCGGTGGGTTCAGGCGACGCCATCGACTCAAGTGAGTTTCGGGTTTCGGGTTCAAGGTTCAGGGGTTTTGGCTTTAGGGTTTAGGGTTCAGGCTCAGGGCTTTTGTTTCAGGGCTTTGGGTTCAGGGTGTAGGGCTTAGGATTTAGGGTTGAGGATGTCACACGTCACGTCCCTAGACCCTAAACTGGAAGGATCATCTTGGTCGCAGTGCCGGCTGCTTCGTGCCGGCATACGCTGTGTGGCCAACCGAGAGAGCGTGAACCAGAAGGACCCGTCAGAATAGCGGCCGCAGCCCCAAGCCTAGGGTTAGGGCTTAGGGCTTAGGCCTTAGGGCTTAGGGTTTAGGGTATAGGGCTCAAGCTTACCTTAAGGACCAAATGAGCACTAAACCTGGGGGCATGTTCCCTTACTAATTACTATAATTTAATTGAATTCCCATGAAGGTATATGAGCCATAAACCCTTTTAGGGTTCATTTCGTCCCCAAGTCTTTGCCCATCACGTGAACCTGGAAGCCCAGAGACGCAGCGTCTTCTGGGATCCTCAACGTACGAGAGGGTTGAAGCTTTAGGACTTCTCCCTGAGCTTTCCTGAATACCCCTCAAGGGTTTAGGGTCGGTTGGGGTTTAGGGTTTAGGGTTTAGGGTTTAGGGTTTAGGGTTTAGGGTCCCCCCCCCTCCCCTTCCCCCCCGCACGTGGTGCCTTGCCGGTGTACATGTCTGCGAGGATGGCGCGGTTCACTGACTCATAGCCTTAAGGTTTGGGGTTTTGATTGCTTCTGGGGTTTTAATAAAGTTTATAGGGTTTCTGGGTTTTTACAGGGTTGCTGGGTCTTTACAGGGTTTATAAACATAAGTTATAGGGTTTCTAGGGTTTATCGGGAAAACAAGCGTTTGGGGCTCATGGCATTTGGGGTTGAAAGGTTAACAGGGTTGATGGGTTGACGGGGAAAAAGGGGTTTAGGGCTTAGGGCTCAAGGTTTGTGGGGTTGACAGGGTCTTCTCGGGTTTGTAGGTAAGGATAGGAGTTCAGGGTTGAGGGTGCCGCGAGACATCCTAACTTAACCTCCCCCAAGACCCACCGCAAGGCCCTAAACCCAAAACTCTAACCCCCAAACCCCAATCCCCAATCCCCAAACCCGAAACCCTAAACCCTAAACCCTAACACTCTAAACCCCAAACCCGGAACCCCAAGCCCTAAACCCTAAACCCTAACCCTAAACCCCCCAAGACCCCAAAGCACCTTTGGAGTCCGGAACGCCCCCCCGAAGCCCCTAAGCCCTAGCACCCCGAAAGCCCCTAAACCCCTTGACTCCCTGGGGATCTTCGAACAGGTTAGGGTTTAGGGTTTAGGGTTTAGGGTTTAGGGTTTAGGGTTTAGGGTTTAGGGTTTAGGGTTTAGGGTTTCGGGTTTAGGGTTTCGGGTTTAGGATTTAGGGTTTGGGGTTGGGTACATACCCTAAAACGGTCCCTACTGGAAGCTAATCCGATTTCAAGCCGTGCTGAATTACCACACGCCCCCCCCCCCCCATTCCAGTAACGGGTTTCGGAAACCGAGTTCAGGGTTTAGGGTTCAGGGTTATAGGGTATAAGGTTTAGGGTTTAGGGCTTAGGTGTTCATAAGGCTGAGGAAGGCTTCAGGCAGTTGCAAGGTCTATCACCGCATGAACCCTTACATGGGGGGTTGGTCTACATGATGGTCCATTGGCCCTAAACCCTAAACCCTAAACCCTAAACCCTGAACCCTGAACCCTAAACCCCAGTTGCAGCGTGTTAGGGCTGGGGGGGGGGGGGGGTGGGAGCCCTAAACCCTAAACCCTAAACCCTAAACTACCCTAAACCCTAAACCCTAAACCCTGGATCCTACAAGGGCTCCAGAGCGCACCGAATTTCATCAGGAGGCTGGTGCTGTCGACTCGGCCGGCACTTTATTCGCAGCCGAGACAAAACGAACTTTGCCGACTTGCCCAAATACCCTTTGTTGGGATGTTCCCCCTCTAGCAGTCCTTTATAGGGATTATAATCGGGGGTACTATGATCCCTGTGTAAGGGCTGTGAGTATAAGGGGGAACGTCCCAAATCATGTGCTTAAAACACCCCACCCCCCCGCCCCCCCTCCCCCAACACAAAAGCTGTACATACTCTTCCTTCTAAGGGCGATGCATGGATGACCCTCGTTCATTTTGTGAGGGTTTCTTAAATACCCCCGAAGCAGATGCTTCCAGAGGATTTCTGCACGTGCGACTGAGAATCATTATTAAACGCTCCTCTTGAAAAAGTGCGGTTCGACGTATCACAGGGTAAATCTGGAAGATGTGGGGCTGGTGCAATCGATCACTGCACCGCTCCGCGCAACCAGTTTTGAAGTGTCGGTCGACCCCACGACTAATCTGGAAGATGTGGGGCTGCCGCAATCGATCACTGCAACTTGTTCCTAGTCCATGGTTGGGATCATATTAAAAATCTAAATTCCTGTTCCTTATTGGGTTTTCAGTACCCTTAAAAATTGTAAAATGCTGCCCAACTATGACAAAGGTTCACAAGAGGCATCGGGATCGCTGCTCATTGCAATGTCTTTTGAAGTATCGGTCGACTTCGTGACAGCGGTGAGTTCCAGCTCCCGGGGGCGTCGTCCAGGGCACCTTCGAACCTTCTTTTGCTGAGCTCATTTTAGGCCCCGAAGTAGTGCACATTTTTTCGCTTCTAGAGGGGATTCTAGTATCCCAACAGGTGTGCCCAAAGAAGTGCACATTTTTTAGCTTCTGTAGGGGGATTCTAGTATCCCCAAAAAGAGTGTCAAGTGTACTCACTCAGCTACCGAGGAACGTTCAGGCCGATGAGCACCAAAAGCACGAGGCCCGGAGGTACGGCCAGAAGAATGCCCGACGCATTGCCCGGGCCCATCCGCAGGAACCTGCGATCTCTAAACCCTAAAAGCCCAAAAACGCCCTAAAACCCCTAAAAAACCCCAAAAAAGCCCTAAATTACCTAGAAACCCTAAAAAGCCCTAAAAACCTAAAACCCCAAAACCCCGAAAGCCCTAAAAATTCTAAAGGCTCTAGATCCTAAACTTGAGACACAACAAAGGCATCGAACTCCACGTTAGAAGGGGTTTAGGTCTTCTGGCCTTTGGGGCTGCTCACTACAGGAGCGCATGGTCGGCTTCACCCAAGAACGAACACAGTGTGATACTTTGGGATGTTCCTCCTTAAACTGGCAGTCCTTAATACGGACTAGAGTACCCCCCCCCCATTCTAATCCCAAGTAAGGACTGTTCGTATAAAGGGGACCCTAAACCCTAAACCCTAAACCCTAAACCCTAAACCCTGAACCCTAAACCCTGAACCCTGAACCCTAAACCCTAAACCCTAAACCCTAAACCCTAAACCCTAAACCGATACTCCTCAACCCAGAAGCCAAAAACTTCCCAGGGAGATCACCACCGGCAATGCGGCGACCTGGAACAACAGGAATGCCACAAGCAGGAGCGGCATGGAACGAGCCAAACCTCAGTCGCCGTTGTAAGACGCCGGAACCCCAAATGTGTGTGTGTGTGGCTGTTTAAACCCTAAACCCTAAGCCCTAAACCCTAAACCCTAAACCCTAAGCCCTAAGCCCTAAACCCTAAACCCTAAACCGTTCGGGGCTCTTTAGTTCTTCCAAAAACCCAACGGAACAGCCTTCTCCTTGACATCAAAGCAACGCACGCCGACAAAAGCCAGCGAGCTGGAACAGCGGCTGCCAAGGAAGACTACCAAGCTCATCATGATCCATTCCTTGTCTGCTCTTCGAGAGTGGCTCGGCTTTAGGGCTTAGGGTTTTGGGTTTAAGGGTTTCAGGGTGATCCATTCCTTGTCTGCTCTTCGAGAGTGGCTAGGGTTCAGGGTTCAGGGTTCCGGGTTCAAGGGTGTAAGGGTTTAAGGTTTTGGGTGGAAGGGTTTAAGGGTTCAAGGGTTTCAGGGTTGAGCTTAGACTGAACAGTCACTTCCGTGAGTTGTTCCCTCCTGAAGCAGAAAACTCTTGGGCGGCTCAACAAGAAGTAGGGCGAACAGTGCTGCCATTTCTCCAGAAGAATATATGCAAACTCCAGAAGATAGCTCTCCGCTGGCTCAATCTGCGACACGGCCCTCGCCAAGGCATCCGAGAGCCAGGGGACATTGGCAGCAGCCAGCATGTAGAAGGTGTAGATGTGAGGAATGAAGTTCTTGGTAGCCCAGCAACCCTATTCTGACAAGGCACCCTCTTAAGGGTTGGCTACCCTATGAAGGGAGCCTTGAACAAAAAAAAAGAGGAAAAAAGGGTACCACTGGGCTACCTCAAGAGTCAGACATCTTGCCGAGGATTGCGCTTGCCAGCCTCGTTTGGACCAGGTTGTTGAAGTGATCCAAATACTCCTCACCAACGTCTCCGGGATGACTGTACCACTCCTTCAGCTTGATGTACACCAACTTCCGATCACCTTGCTGTTGGTTTAGTAGGGACTGCGGGAATGAGGTGCCCTATATCCCCCCTATATATATATATATATACCCTTTAAGGGATTATATAGGTACCTCATTCCCTCATTCCCTAGTAAGCAACAGCAAGTCACATGGAATCGCTGCACCGGTGTCGGGATGCCGATGGTTGTTTGAGCAGCAGAAGCAGCAGGTCTCCTGCATCCGGTACGTTCGCAACTGACGTCGGACATCCAGCAAGTGTCCTTGGCTGCACTTCGGAGGGTAGTTATGACTCAAATTTTATAGCTGCCTTATTAAGAAGCCCAAGAAACCCAAAAAGGCTAAGGATCTCAAGTTACAATAAAGCACCGCAAAGTGTCGAGCTAAGCTGATCTCCATGGCGAACAAGGGCACTCCCCACAACATGGCCGGCACAGCGACCAGCAAGGTCCCGATCAGGACTTTACCGACAGCGCCAGGAATCAAGAATAGCACGCCAGACGCGTTGCCCACCAACATGTTGTAGACAACATACCAAAACGAGCTGGCAACCGCAGCCCACGCCGCGTATTCCACCAGCAATACCGGGGCCCCATGTACTGGCATGACCACAACTGGCTTCTCCTCATTGCCTCCAGTCAACCACGTGGCTATTTCATACGAGCACCATAATCTGCTGAAGTAAGCCGGCGACCACAATACCTTTGCTCCCGCGCAGTGCGCGCGGACAAAAGCCTATACCTAAACTCAGTTTTATGGTGATGAAAGCACGGGCGGATGAGCAAAGGAATCTGAAAAGACCATGCGAAGTGCGATGTGAAAGCACGTTCGAATATACGTTTGAATGTCAAAGCTAGGTTCAGAGCACATCGGTAGTTCTCTAAACTAGGGTCCCTTTTTGAGATCCCTTTTAGAGGGTGCCGCCTTATAATGGGTACCCAAAAAGGGACCCTAATATAGGAAACTACGCATATTTAGGGTTTAGGGTTGAGGGTTTAGGGTTTAGGGTCTAGGGCTTAGGGCTTAGGGTTTAGGGGTCCCATGCGCGTGCGCGACCTGAAGTGCAGAGCTGTCGTCTCCTTTGCGCCCCTGGATCGCGCCCCTCTGTGTGCAAGGTGCCATAGTCGCAATCTTGCTTTTGGGGTTTAGGGTTTAGGGTTTAGGGTTCAGGGTTGAGGGTTTAGGGTTGAGGGCAGAATGCACAACCAAGGTACCACAAGTCGCTTGGAGTGGTTGAGGAAAGCAGCAAGGCCCAGAATGCCTTTGGCCTTCCTAGGTTGCCCAGCAACCAAAGATTGAAAAGGGTGCCCTTTTTGGCTTAAAGGGGTTTATAAGGGAATCTAAACCACCCTAGACCCTAAACCCTAAACCCTCAACCCTAAACCCTAAACCCTCAACCCTAAACCCTAAACCCTAAACCACCAAACAAAGGGAATCAGGGCACTACTGGGCGCTCCGAGCTTCAAATCCGCCAGCTCAGGGCTTTGGGCGATGCACAGCTTGTCCAAGAAGACGAGCCTGGAAGTACACAGCATCTGGGTTTGTGTCTTGGGTTTAGGGTTTAGGGTTTAGGGTTTAGGGCTTAGGGCTTAGGGTTTAAGGCTTAGGGTTTAGGCATCTGGTTGGGAATGTTCCCCCCCCCCCCCCGTATCCTAACAGTCCTTAAAAGGGATTCTCATAGGGGGGACTAATAATCCCTGTCATTACTTTAAAACGGGTAGCCTTTTTTTTGGGGTTGGTTACTTTAAAAGGGGGAACATCCTTACTAATAGAGATTATCATAGGGAGTACTAAGAATCCCTGGTTGTTAAGAACCCTAAACCCTCAACCCTCAACCATCAACCCAAACCCTGGACCCTAAACCCAAAAGGCCTGCAAGTACACAGCATCTGGCGGAACCGCTGCCAGAAGCACAAGAAGAAGAGGTGGACGCCATAGCCGATGCCAACCTAGACCAAGGAGTGGCCCAGGAATAACCCAGGAAAAAAAAGGGTTTAGGGTTTTAGGGTTTAGGGTGTAGCATTGGTCAGCTGAACGCAATAGTATGAAGACATGCCCACCCCGAGGCCACCCAAACACTACTCATCACGGAACCAAACCGGAGCCAGCCAAAGCCAAGCCAGCCATTCAATTTGCATATATCGAACATGTTTAGAGGACACTGAGACAGAACACTGCGAATGTTTCAAATTCCACACATCGAACATGTTTAGAGGACACTAAGATAAGACACTAAGATAAAACACTGCGAATGCTTGGGACATTTGCGCGCAATGGCCTTGACACAATGCACTCGGCACAACACAGCTGGCGCAATGCACTTGGCACAAGGCGCTTGGCACGATGCCCTTTGGCACAATGCACTTGGCACAATGCACTTGGCACAGAGCACTTGCGCAATGCACTTGGCACTTTACTGCAGTTGGCACACGCAGCACAATGCACTTGGCAGAATGCCTTTCGGCATAATGCCCTTTTGCGCAATGCACTTGGCACAATGCACGCCGGGAACAATGCACTTGGCACAGAGCACTTGGACTTGGCACGCACTTGGCACAATGCACTTGGGCGCAATGCACTTGGAACAATGCACTTGGCACAATGCACTTGGCACATGGGGCAATGCACTTAGCGCAATGCACTTGGCACAGTGCACTGAGCACAACGGACTTGGCGCAATGGACTTGGTGCAACACACTTGGCACAGCAATGCGGCTCTTACCTTGACACAATGCACTTGGCACAACGGACTTGACGCAATGCACTTGGCACTAGAAGCAGTTGGCACAGGCACGGGTACATTAGCACCATGCAGTTGGCCTTGACACAATGCACTTGGCACATTGGCGCAATGCACTTGGCACTGACGCAATGCACCTGGAACAACGCACTTGGCACAGAGCACCTGCGCAATGCACTTGGCACTATGGCACAATGCCCTTTGGCGCAATGCACTTGGACTTGGCACGCGCTTGGCACAATGCACCTGACACAGGCACGTGCACATGAGCGCAAGGCACTTTGGCACAATGCACTTGGGCGCAATGCACTTGGAAGTGCATTAGCGCAGTGCACTTGGCACATGGAACAATGCACTTAGCACAATGCACTTGGCACAGTGCACTTAGCACAATGGACTTGGCGCAATACACTTGGCACAACAACGCGGCTCGCGCAGGCACTGGCACATTGCCACAACGCACGTGACCTTGACGCAATGCACTTGGCCCAGTGGCACAGAAGCGCAATGCACTTGGCATTGATTGCATAACGGACTTGATGCAATGCACTGGGCACTATAATGCAGTTGGCACACGCACGAGTACATTAGCACAATGCACTTGGCCTTGACACAATGCGCGTGGCACATTGGCAAAATGCACTTGACACATGAAACAATGCACTTGGCGTAATGCACCTCAATGCACTTGGCACAGAGGACTTGGCACAATGGACTTGACGCAAAGCACCCGCCGCGCAATGCACCTCGCGCGAGTGATGTTTGAGCCAGTGCCCCCCCCCCCCCCCCAAACCGGGTTCCTGGTGGGTTGGGGGCCAGGGCCAGGCCAGGGCCAGAGCCAGGGCCAGGGCCAGGGCCAGGGCCAGCCAAGACCAGGACCAGACCCAGGGCCAGGGTCAGGGCCAGGGCCAGGCCAGACCCAGGGCCAGAGCCAGCAGGGCCAGGGCCAACACCAGCGCAGGGCCAGGGCCAGGCCAGGCTGGCCCTGAAAAAGACCCACCGGCTAGGCTTTAGGGTCTCAGTGACCAAGCTGGGCAACTTTAGCTTCACGACCCCTCAGGGGTGAGCCTGGCAGGCTCTGCAGCCCAGCAGAGCCTGCCGAGGTCTCGCTGATCGCTCGACAGCGCCCACCTACCTACAGAAGGAGAGGGGTGGCGGGCGGGTTGAGGGTTTAGGGTTTAGGGTTTAGGGTTTAGGGTTTAGGGTTGAGGGTTTAGGGTTTAGGGTTTAGGGTTTAGGGTTTAGGGTTTAGGGTTTAGGGCTAGGAATAAACAGGGTGCCCCTTTTCGGCTTTATTAGGGGATTCTTTAGGGAACCCCCAAAAAAATCCTAAGGGACAAGGAAAAAAATAGGGCCTACTCCGAGTCCCAGCCGCAATGGTAAGTCTCAGATCCGGTAGGGCCCCAGATGCGCGCGCCACGCCGAGGGCAAGGGAAGACAGGAGCGTTGCAATCAGCGCCGCCCTCCTCGGGTGGACCGAAAAAACCCTAAACCCTAAACCCTAAACCCTAAACCCTAAACCCTAAACCCTAAACCCTAAACGCCCTCAAAACCCTCTATAAACATATTCCTGAATGTGCTCCTCTTAAACCCAAGAAGGGAAAAGATTCCTGAATTATGGCCCTCTTAAACACAACAAGCAAAAATATTCCTAACCCTAAACCCTAAACCCTAAACCCTAAACCCTAAACCCTAAACCCTAAACCCTAAACCCAATAAGGGCAAACATAGAATGTCCCCAGGGCCTACCGAGCTTCGAGTTGTAAATGATGAGCATGGCGAGAAACTTCATCCATCGACTGCTACCCCAGTCATGGCCTTGGTACCCCGGTTTAGGGTTTAGGGTTTAGGGCTTAGGGCTTAGGTTTTAGGGTATTTAGGGTCTAGGAGCCATCTCATGGTAAGGCGTACCCCCTTTTTTGGGTAGGGAACCCAGAAGAACAAAAAAAAATAAGACCGCTCCTTATACTAACAGCTCCTTACCAGGGATAATCGTAGCCCCGTATGATAGTTCCGATTCTGGACTGTTGGTATAAGAGGCAGCATCCCAAAGGGGTACCACTGGGCTATCCAGTGGCTAAGGAAGTCGTCTATGGACTCGACTGGCCGGCTCAACGCCCAGTTATCGGCCTGAGGTTAGGGTTTAGGGTTTAGGGTTTAGGGTTTAGGGTTTCGGGTTCAGGGTTCAGAGTTCAGGTTCAGGGTTCCCGGCCTGTACTTTGAACATGCCTGGGTCGGGTGGCCGCCAGTGCTTGCCCCATCCGCTCAAACCTGTAAGCTGATTTGGGGGAAGCACCAAAAAGTTATCTCTGAATCAGGTCCAGGATTCTCCCTAAACCCTAAACCCTAAACCCTAAACCCTAAACCCTAGAATTCTGCTGCCCTCAGCTGCTGTTTAGGTGAATCCCTATCGGCTCGTCTAGGGCCTAGGCGTAAGGGTTTAGGGTTTAAGGTTTAGGGTTTAGGGTTTAAGGTTTAGGGTTTGGGTTTCAGGTTTAGGGCCCTAAACCCAGGCTACGCATCTGGCTCTAAGGGACATTACATGGGCCCTTGTTATGGTCCCTTACCTCCTTCAAAGGGTTCTGATGTATGGGCGCCCTTAATTTGTACAGGGTATGTAAGGGGTAGATAAGGGGTACCCGTTTAAGGGCCCATACTAAGGGACCATGTAACTACGCGAAGAACAAAGCGGTCGCACACCCTAGACCCTATAGAGTCCTGACCCGGAAACAATGAGATGTCCGTCAACGCCGGTTTAGGGTTTAGGGTTTAGGGTTTAGGGTTTAGGGTTTAGGGTTTAGGGTTTAGGGTTTAGGGTTCAGGGATAACATCCTTGCCAGTTCGGCCCGCGAAGCAGTCATGTAGAGGTACTCCGCGCAGTAACTCGGGCTCCAAGTGAGTCAACAGCTGGGGCGGATCCATGGCTCCGCGCAGCGACCCCAAGCCCTAAACTCTAAACCCTAAACCCTAAACCCTAAACCCTGGCCTAAACCCTAGGCTATTTGGGGTGCTCGCTGTAAGGATCAGGGTTGAGGGTTGCAGAGCACGAGGGTCCCTAAAGCTTCAAAGCCCAGCTGCTGAGACGAGACATCGGGCGTCGCCTAGCAGAAAGATTTGGATTTAGGGTTTAGGGTTTAGGGTTTAGGGTTTAGGGTTTAGGGTTTAGGGTTTAGGGTTTAGGGTTTGGGGCGTAGGGTGTAGGGTTTAGGGTTTAGGGTTTAGGGCCCCTGAAAGTCGCCAAGAAACAAGCAAAGCACAACACAAATCCCTCCCAACCTCCCAGATGCAAATTGGCTTTTCAACTGAGTGGCGAAAGTTCTCACGGAGGCATCCACTCCGAAAGTCGATGGGAGCACCCGCCACCCAGGGGAGAGGAAGACCACTTTCCCACTGGGGAAGGTGCCCCGTCAATTACGCCCCAAAGGGTGGGCTGGGTGGGTAAAACTTTCCGACTTCCCCTGGGGCCCCGGCTCGCAGCCAAAATGGCCCACATGGAGAAGAACCCTCCCTCCGCCCCAAGTTGTGCAAACTTGTTCTAGCTTACATAAATGTACGCACTAACAAGCAAAGCACAACACAAATCCCTCCCAACCTCCCAGATGCAAATTGGCTTTTCAACTGAGTGGCGAAAGTTCTCACGGAGGCATCCACTCCGAAAGTCGATGGGAGCACCCGCCACCCAGGGGAGAGGAAGACCACTTTCCCACTGGGGAAGGTGCCCCGTCAATTACGCCACTTGATTATCGGTGTTTATGTCTCCGCTGCATCCGAGCTCTCAGAGATAGCATCGTCCGAGAAACACTTGTGGCATCTCTTGAAGCATGGTCCTATCGGCTCATTGTAGGTGAAGGTCGTGACATGTTTAAGGCCAGCAAAAGGCCAGCCACAAGCCGTTTTCCACTTCTTAACATCAGAGCTGACAGTGACCAGGGCCTTATGCACAGCCTGGCTCAGTTCGTTGTACACATACCAAGCCTCGACTCTATTTACATTTTCTAGAACATCAGCCATGCCGGACAGCACAGCCTCGTGATGGTCCATGATATGTTCCAAGTCGCCCAACTTCCGATTCGCAACACTCTTAAAGGTGTTGAGTTCGCTCTCTAAACAGGCGATCTTGACCAGTGCATCTGACAGCATGTCATCGTAATTCACTAGCAGCTTGAGCCTGTGATCATCTTTCGGCCGCACGGCCTCAGGGAGAGCTGAAAGACCGCCCTCGGTGAGCCTGCGTGCTAAATCCGACAAAGGAGCCTCAGCGATGTAGGAGAGGACAGCCAGGGACCCCCAACGGCCTAACAATTGAATGGTGATGGCGTCGAGTCCCCAGACCGACAACGTGCGTGCCCCTGTGATTCTGAAGGCATGGCCAGAAAACAAGTGCTTGCCTGTCTGGTCAGTGATGGGCTGGCCAATCATCGCAATGGCTGCACGAAGGGTGTCTATGATGGCAGCTTTGGAACAACCACAGCCGGCTTTGTCGACGAAAAGAGGGCCGTCAAGAAGGCCACGCGCAGTAGCAATCCTCTTGTAGTGCGACGCCGTGTGGTAGGCGCAAGGCTTGGCGAGATGACAAGTGCAGCCCCAAGTCCTGCGGCAGCCTTTTGCCGCCCAGTCTGTCTTACTGGAGGGCAGCGTCAAGGTGACCGTTTTGGCCGTGTCATTGAGCACGATGTCCGACCACGTGGCTGACGCCGCTTCCAATTCCCGTAAAAGGAAAAGGGTAGCGAGCACAAACAAGGCGAGGGGGAAAACGGGGCCCCCCGAAACCAAGGGCTCAGTTCGTCCTGTCAGGGCCGCGCAAACATCCTCCAGCGGGAAGGCTTCAGAGCGTAGCGCACCTGCCAGACCTCTGATCACGGATTTCTTACAAAGCCTTATCATCTGGTCGAGTTGTGCTGGGACCTCATGTCCCGCAGCAATGTGATCCTCCCTCAGACGGCTGATGTAGTTACGGTATGACTTGTAGCCGCCAGCCTTAAAAAGAGCAGCCGTCTTCCTCACCATGTCAGCGGTAAGGGGGAGGACTGGAGCATCAGCACCATTGGCTGCCCTATGTAGCTTGCTGTATGTTGCGAGCACTGCTTGTCTAGGGCCCGCGGAGGTGGCCGCGAACATGTCCCTGTCTAGAGCATCCACAGCCGTCTCAAAGACCTGGTCTTCGCTTGCAGCGTGGAGCGCCACACTCAAAGAAGCTCGAGCATGATCCTTGATGACCGGGACATCTGCTCTGGAGGAACGCCCCGCCCTCAACGAAACAGGAGATCCCGTCGCCTGGACTGCGTTGGTGAGCTTTCGCTCGGGTGCCCCCCCAACAGGCGGGGGCCGAGAAGTCCTCACGAGAGCATCAGCAGCAGCCAAGTCCCCAAGGGGCGGGGGCCGAGAAGTTCTCACGAGGGCATCAGCAGCAGCCAAGTCAACCCTGGGCAAAAATTGTCCCTTTTTGCGTTTGGGCATGCAAACGGCTATGGCCGGACAAGAGAGCAAGAAAGAGCGCGAAATCACCCTCTTACTGCCAAGGAGCACACCTGCAGCACGCAAACAATGCTAACAGACTCGAACGGCAAGCCCACTTGCATCCAAGTGTATTAGGTTTCGAGGCGACACGAAGAAGCGGCACTTCCGCACATCAGCCACTTTACTACACGACAGCCAGCACCTATCAAGGCAACCAAACAAGTCGGCAGGCTCGGGAGTGCATCTTGTCGCCGTCCACTTTCCCAACTGCGTCCTGAGCAGAAGATTGCAGTTGGTTATGACTGGTAGGTTCGCTGGGCGTGCTGCCTCATCATGTGGCTGGGCGTGCTGCCCTCTCTGCACTATACAAGGTATTGCGACTGAACCGCAATTAATTGCATCTGAGGACCCTGGAGGGGAGCTGCCGTGGAGGCCACACGGCGAGAAAAGCTGCAGAATATTTTGCAGCATTGGGGCTGTTAGTGCAGTTAGGGTGAAACGACTGCAGCAACCTACATGTCCACCTTGCGTAGCGGTTGCAAGGTCGTGTAGTAATGAGCGTCTCTGGTTACATTTGGTTCCATTCGGGAGTGTCCAAGAATCTGCGGCATGGGAGCCTTGTATCCCGGCATAAACAACCTGGAAAGATGGTCAGCCAGTTTGTTGGATAGGCCAGGAATATGCTCCATGACATTGGGTTTATAAGCGCACGATCCCATCAACAGCGCCAACTCCTTGGCCAAGAGCTGAGAGCCTTTGCGATGTCCAGCGGTGCGCAGCTTGTATATCAAGCTAAGCACCGACACAGAGTCCAGCTGCAACGTAAGGCAGGCATCATCGCATTTCCATTCTTGCTCCCAAAGCTTGAGTGCGACGTATAGGGCCAAGGCTTCGACCACCTGTTGTGTATCGGGGCTGCCCAACTCTACTCCAAGAATGTCTGCATCCTCGGAGGTGAGTGGCATCGCAAAATGTCGCAAAATGCGCACGTCGTACGCCAAATAGCCACCTATGCCCCAAGGTGAGGCGTCAGTGACTATCCGGATCTGGCGACCTCGTCCAAAGTAACGGTGCACTCTGAATTCACGCGTGAGGTCCCGGCCTTCTTGTCGAAGAAGATGCTCTAGCCAAATTCTAGTGTGACTCCACTGTTTTGTCCAAATCATGGACTGAGGTGCTTTTGATTCGTCACGCTTGCTGTGTAAGGCACCGTAAAGTTCGGACAAGAAGGGACGCAACATCTCGATCATGCCGGCAACGTGATTGAGCTTGCCAGTGTAGGACGCCAGTTCCTTCCTGCTGATCATGTTTGTTGAGCCATGTCTGATCGTGGCTCCTCTGATCTCATCCATCATTTCCGGCTTCGCTGTGACCACCACCGAAGCCTGTGGAGTGCCGATGTCGCGGACCTGGAAGGTGGCACCAATCCTGGCGCCCAATGTCACCTTTCTTGTACGCAAGTCCGATGCCCACAGCTTCCCAGAGAAGTATGAGGAGGGCAAAATGCAACCTCCTCTCTTGTCGTGTGCCAATTGCGGAGATGATGGGGTCATCCACGTAAATTTGCAGCCGCATGTTGCAAGCTTGTATGACCCCTTGCGTGAGTCTACCAATGTAGGCAGCCACTCTACCACAAACAACCGGAGCATTTCTGGACCCCTGCGGTTGCGTGAGGTAGACGGCATACTTGTTTCCAAACTTGAAGGCAAAGTATTTGCGCTCAGACTGCGCCAACGGTATTTGGTAGAACCAGTCTGAGAAGTCCAAAACCATCATCTCGAGCTCGGGATTGCCTCGGGCTCCCTCCAGTTGGTCGAGGAGGTAAAGCAGGTCGTCGACGACATCGACAATCCTGGGCAGGATCAGCTTGCCTCCTCGTGAAGCAAGGGTGTTGACCATAGAACGCCTGCAATCCATGATAAGTCGTCGCTTGGTACGTCCATCCTTGACCTTTGTGATCATGGCAAGCTTGCTGAGGCGGAGCTTTCCCCCAGCCCAGCGTTGACATTCTTCGAGGGAGTCAAAGACTTGACGAATCCAGTACGAAACAGCCGCTGAACCTCTGGTTCGGCAGCTGGATCGCCATCCACAGAGGAGTAGTTTGTGTGGAGATCCGCATCGGGAGGCTCGAAATAGTCCGTGTCAGGACCAACTTCGTCATTGGGTGGAAAGACGCCCGGGTCCTCGATCGGTACCTCAATGCCAGCTGGAGACCCACTAGTTAGCCAATTATGTATGATGGACGCGTCGGGATCGTTAGCAGCGAGCCCCCACTGCAGCAGGAGTTCAGCCCGTAACTTGGTTGAGCCGGCCGTTTGCAGGGCATCGCGATGCCTGGGCAAGCAGGATGCGATCGCCTGCCTGGCCCGCCGTATGTCCTCAGGAGTGGGCCCCACTTGCTCATCAAGCGAACCCACGGCGCCCACACACCTCTCCACTAACTCAGGGTCTTCCTTGAGGACGTCTAACAGCGCAGCACGTATCAGGCCACCTGCTTGTTCCAATTTAGGCTGCAAGCCGAGCGCTCTGCGAGGATGCCGCATTCCACCAAGAAGGTGATTCTCGTGGTCGTCATCCTTCAGGCCCCGCAGAGGTGCGCTGAACCTGTACGAGGCGCTCGCCGAATGTGGCCCGGTTGTCTTCAGCGCATCGCTGCGTACCAACACATTGCCCCACCGTCCACATTTGACCAGGCAGTCATGTCCTGGCGCGGAAGGCCGAGTAGCGGATGTAAGCTTGCTCGACAGGTACTCCCAGCGGTGAGGTGCATGGCTGCAAACTGCACTGATGTCTGTCAAGTCCACCTGGTACGCCATCAGGGTGGAGCCGGCGCCGTACTCGTGCTGGAACATGTCGTGAAGCGAAACGCCTTCCAAGTTACGAAGCTTGACGTACTCATCAAGGTTGAACATGCTGACGCTGGCGCCGTCCTGTTTCCAAGGCGGCTGTTCCAGGATCAAGGGCTTCCGCTGAGAATGAAGTTCTTCGAAGACGCGAGCTGCTCGTACCGCCAACAAGGTGCCGATCCTAACCAGCTCCTTGTCCCCGGCCTCCAGCCCGCGTCGACCATATCTTCCAGCTCCAGTGGCCGTCCTCAGCGCATCGCCGGAATTCTTGGCATTTGAAAATGTGCTGCTTGGTGGCCGGATGAGACCGGCATCATACATCCCAGCGCGAACTCTGCTCAGAAGCCTTTCCCAGTTTTCATTGTCAGTCAAATCAAAGAGCGCACCGTTAAGATTGTCCCACTCCTCACAGTCCCAGCCCAGTCCAGCGAGGTAGACAGCCAAGCCATCCGCTCTGCCAGAAGGACCGCTGAACAAGTGAAGCAGCCGAGGTCTGAAGCTCGTTCGTGAGGAAGCCGAAGCGTTGGATGGATCCACCTTAGGGGGAATCGGAACTGGACTGCGACTCCTGTCCCCACTCAGCTCCAGCATATGGCTTGGCTGTAGCTTCACATCAGGACGAAACGCATCGAATGAATTCACATGCAGCGATTGTGCGCCAGATCACTGGCGTCTGCCCCCGCCCCCTTTTCCCCCCTTGCCCTTGCCGTGGTTCACCCTCGGCTGCCTGGGAGCAGCCAGAGTGCAATCCTTGGCGCCATGGAACTCGGATAGACACTTTGCACACTGATGTCGCAATCTGCTGTTGCGCTTGCAAAAGCCGCGCTGGTCGACCTCAGTGCACTCGCCGGTCTGGTATCCTCGGCACAGCTCAGTGCCTTTACGATTGTGTGAAAGGAAGCCGTCCTCACCGGTCTTGTGCAGACGTTCCGTCCTTGGCTTCTTGGCGGCAAGGGGTTCTCAAGAAAGGCGGTCTTTGAAGGCGCAGCCGTCAAGGAAGTAGCATCAGCAGCTATTGGGGCGTCCTGTTCCACCACCTGTTGCAACGAAGTGGACTTCACTGCAAGCTGTAGCGCAGGTTCGATGACCTCGCGCTGCCAGAAGGAGTAATCCTCTGTGAGTCTGCGCCAAATGTAGTCCCAAGGTTTGGCGAGATCAAGGTCATGTGACGCGCCTCGTGCCACAGCCTTGTTCCGCTCTTCTTTAGCTTGACGAAGGAGTCGCTCGGAGTGCTCCAAGCGGGCTCGCACATCAGCTTGATAGATCAAGCCCCAAGAAGCTTTGCTGTACCTTTCTGCCAACTTGCGGATGTGCTTCTCGTAGTTGTCAAGGTGCGCAGGCGCGATCTGCTTCAGCATGATGCAACCAGTGCGGAACACCAGATAGCACTCACGCCAGCTCTGATAGTCAGGAGGTCCAAACATCTCAGTGGTAGTGATCTCGCCTGAAGGGGAAAACTTGATTCCTTTCATTTTGATCTTTCGCTGTATTCGGTGGTGGTACGGCCCAAACACTGCAAAATCGCAGTACGGGGGCCTGTTGGCAACAAAAAGGTCTCTCAGGCCGCTTAGTTGTTCGATTGACAACTCTTCATCTTCTGAAGGAAAGGCACCAGTCTTGGACTTGTACTCTGCGTATGCTGCTGTAATGTCAACTGCATCCATGAGCTCTGCTTCGTTGTCGTCGCTCTGGTTGATGATTGAGGCCATCTTCAGTTTGCGCTTGCCAGAACCTGAAGCAAGAGTGGGTGCAGTGGACGCAGCAGCTTGCTGAGCCAAGGTGAGCTCAGTGCCAGATAAAATCCGGCATGTCCTGCCCAGCAATCCACCATGACTGCGCTGCACAAAGGTGGGCGCCGTCGCATTTGCAGGCTCACTCCCTATTCGCCAGTTTTGCAAGACTGCCTGATATTCATCGGCGGGCATAAAACGCAAGGACCGGGGATGATCATTGGGCGCGGTGCCCAGGAGAGCGAAGAGCGAGCCACGAGGGGTGGCTGCATCCGTCGCAGTCCCTTGCAGGCCAATCCAGTCAGCGATTGCGCCTATGTTAGTAAGCGCGGCGCGCTCAGCATCTGTCGGATCAATCGACATGTAGCCTAATAAGGCCTCCAAAAGGCAAGTGGAGGGCTTTTCTTACCCTCGGCAGCCGCGAAGTCCCCAGGATGCCAGATAAGCAGAGCAGTCGACATGCCCTAAAACTTTCCGACTTCCCCTGGGGCCCCGGCTCGCAGCCAAAATGGCCCACATGGAGAAGAACCCTCCCTCCGCCCCAAGTTGTGCAAACTTGTTCTAGCTTACATAAATGTACGCACTAACCTTAGCTCCCTGCTCGAAAGGGTTTTGGGTGTCCGAGGCCCTCGTCCCTTGTCCCTTGTCCCTTGTCCCTTGTCCCTTGTCCCTTGTCCCTTGTCCCTTGTCCCTTGTCCCTTGTCCCTTGTCCCTTGTCCCTTGTCCCTTGTCCCTTGTCCCTTGTCCCTAAACCCTTATAAACCCTAAACCCTAAACCCCTAACCCTAAACCCCTAACCCTAAAACCGGAGGGTTTGGGGTGTAGAGTGTAGGATTTAGCAAGTAGACCCATGCGGCCGCAAGGTTTCTAAGTCGGACCCACCAAGTCGGGCCCTTTTCAGCCCTAAACCCTCAACCCTCAAACCTAAACCCCAAACCCTAAACCCTAAACCCGACTGAAGGACTGCTTGCTAAGTCACCCGATCCTCCAAGTAGCTTCGAAGGGCCAGCTTCAGAAGCGGGGGGGGGGGGGGGGGGTGGGGCTTCGGGGCGGGCTTCAGGGGGGGGGCTTTAAGGGAGGCTTAAAGAGGGGCTTAAAGGGGGGCTTTAAGGGAGCTTAAAGGGGGGGGGCTTTAAGGGGTTATGAACCCCGTCTAGGGAGTTGTTCCAGGAACGACCCGGGATTTCGGAACCTCTTCTTTTCACTGGTTCAGAGCTGATTGCACCAATGATGCGCATTCCTTTGCCTTGGCAGCCCCAATAACCGCACTATAACAAGGGGGCACCCGTTTTGCGGTTGGTTACTTTATGAGGGAAACCTTGAACCCCAAAAACTGGTGGGTTCTTAGCAGGGAATGAGGGAATGAGGTACCCTACATAATCCCTTAACGTGTATATTCCAGGGCCCGAAATTCCCGTTTCCCCCTTCTTCAGAAGCAGCCCCAGAAAAAAGCAAAAGGGGTACCACTGGGCTGTCCGGGATGCTGCACCGACATTCACAGTCCACCCGCTGCCGCCATGCCCATAGTTGTGAATAAGCTGGATGGGTGAATTTGAATAGCTGGGATCAGCTTCGCACCTCACCTTCTTGGGGTAGTTTCATGGGTTTAGGGTTTAGGGTTTAGGGTTTAGGGTTTAGGCTTAGTATGGGCCCCCTTTAAGGGAGGTAAGGGACCAGATTAAGGGCCCATAAAACTACCCTTCGACACCTAGACCCACAACAGTAGCCCAGGTTTAGGGTTTAGGGTGTAGGGGTTTAGGGTTTAGGGTTTAGGGTAACAAAACCGCAAAAAACACGCCCTTTTGTTGGGTTTGCAGGCCTTGAACTATGACAGGGAACCTAGAAGCCCTCAAAAAAGGGGAAAAAGGGCGGGCCCACTCTGGCTCCGAGTCGCCGTTGCTCTGTAGGGCCTGAAGCCCACCCACTCGTGCGTAGGAGTGCTCTTGCCTTGGCTGCTTAGGAGGGTAGTTCTAAACTAAATGTTTAGCTGCTTTATTAAGAAACCCCATGAACCCCAAAAGGCTAAGGATCTAAGGTTACCATAAAGCCCCTAAACCCTAAACCCTAAACCCTAAACCCTAAACCCTAAACCCTAAACCCTAAACCCTAAACCCTAAACCCTAAACCCTAAACCATAAAGCACCAAAGAGTTGCGGACGTCGATCCCGAGATGGAAGGCGTTCTGGCAGAGTCGCGCCCTCTCCTCCTCGGTCACGGTCTCGCGCATGTCTTGCTCCAAGTAGCTGCCACCAAGACCTCATGGCGTCCCAGTAACCATGGTATAGTAAGGGTACCCATTTTTTGGGTTGGCTACTTATGATAATAAGGGAGCCTTGAACCACCAAAAAAAAGGGGCAAAAAGGGTACCACTTGGCTGCCAGGAGACAGATGGTAGAGCCGCGAGGAATCAAGTAGCAGGGCATGGTGGCACTTCCCCAGGGTGCGTCTTCGGCCAGGATCGCGGCATCATTCCTTAGCTGACTGCTGAACCCCTCCTAAAAAGTTTAACTTTTAAACTTTTAGGCTCCTTATTGTAGTTGCTACCAAAAAACCCAAAAGGTTAAAGTCCTAGGAACCAGCC